GGGTTTCCACACTTTTGGTAGACCCTGTATATTGTGAACATAAACGACGAGGGCAGAATGTACTTTCGATAGTCAGGGACAACACGATAAACAGTTTTGAATAAAGAACGTGAGAATATTGAAAAATCCTTAGGAGATTTTTACATTAATTTAATAAATTAATTAATTTGTGCCATTAAAAAAGATTAAAAATAATAAAGGTATAAGAACTCGAAATATAAAATTAACAAATTAGTTTCAATAGCAATACGAGTCGAGCGTCGATGTTATGACATATTTATTTATTTATTATACAAAAAAAGCATGAAACAAATAAAAATAAAATTAAAATTAAAGGAAGGAATAGCGAACGTTTCGATCCTATTTTTGGGTCATCTTTAGCGCACATATGATAATGTGGTATAATTATAATAAAGGTGTTACATATCTGAATCGATGAGATAGGATGCCGTCCAAAGTAATACTAAATGTCTCGGTATCTCGACGATGCCTATGTAAAATATAGGTGAAACAAGATAAATGGATAATGTAAATTAATATATAATGGAAAAATATTAAAATTTAACGTAAAAAGATTAAAAAGATGTAGAGTTAAATGTCCATTTTCAAAAAATTTTTAAATAAATATAAACTGAACATAGAGTAAAAAATAATAAAAATTAAAGAAATCAAAAGTTAAAACCATGAAATTGAAATATACTTCCAGGCATCGAAGATAATGGCGAGTCGAGGAGACAAATGGAAACAAGTTAATATCTCTAAAGACAAAGAACGACTAATCTTTAACAGATAGATGTGACTAATTTATAAACGGTAAAGTGAATCAAAGGATATATAAAAATGTACACATAAGGAAAGTCGCAGACCTATTTGTTATGATAGAAAACTAAGTTACATCTTTGACAAGTTGTTTATTATATTTAAATAAATTTCTGGTAAACGTTAAGTGTCTGTTTGCAAATTTAAACCATATGTTTTGCCTTTATAACATTTCAGAAATTAATCTCTTACTCAAAAATGGTTCCCGATCTAAAATCTGTACATCCTCCCAATTAAAAACATGATCAAAACCGACCCTGTGATTAGAGATGACAGACTGAGTATTAGTATAAAAGATTAATATTGAAAACAAAACGAATATAAATCAAAGTATCAAATTCATTTCACAAAACATTTTGTGCAAAAGAATGTTTTGCTAATATATATACTCCTAGACAAAATTAACGCATAATTTTTTTCACTTTTTTTTAAAAGCTGATATTTAAATTTTAACGAAAAATTTTATAGAACAAGTGAAAAAAATTATACGTTAATTTTGTCCAGGAGTATGTATATTGTTACGTCTGGTGGACTCCACGATTCTTTTCTTTCTTCGAAATGATACCGTGAAAGAAAAATCAAGGATCGGTTTGCATTTGAAGCACAAAGCAATCCTTGTTCGAATAATGATAGCGCATAGAAAAACGGAACCTAACCCGCGATATACAGGGTGGGGAAAAAGTATGGAAGCAAACAATTATTTCCGAAACTATTCATTTTTCGACAAAATGTCTTAGACATCATTTTTATGGTATGAAAAGATGTATTATGTGGCATAGACGGCATGACCTTGAAATGACCCTTACGAGCTGCATACAAATAAAGTAAAAAATTTCAAATGGAACTCGTCAGTTTTTGTTACAGATTCTTGTAGCTGATGTCGAAACGTTTACAAAACATGCATATGAGTCCCATTCCCTTAAAAACACTCCCAGTTACGAAACAATTGTGATAATTCGTATTTCCTACTTTTGGCTTATCCTTTACGGAACCTGTTTCATTAAATCGTTGAATTGTCTTAGCAACGATAGATCTTACTATGCCCGGTTGTCCGATTCGAAAAGTTTCATTAAACAAAACTGTAACTTCATCGTGAGTTCTTTCATTCTCACCCCAACCACGCATCATCAACAGCGATATTCGCTCTCGTTCTGTTAATCGGGCCATCGTGAAAATAACATTTGAAATTACAGAAATGAAAATCAGTAACAATTCCTATGATAGAAAACGACAAAAATAGCAAATTTTCAAAATACAATATCCGAAACTTGTATGCCAATTGACACTACTTTTTTAAGGATAAAATAAATGATAATAATAAATAAGGTAGCGATGATCAAGAAATCAAAAAAATTCTATGAATATTCATAGACAGTGTATCATATGACAACAGATACAATTACATGTTATTAGTGGACGCAACTGAACGTCATGATGCGAAATCAGTAAGCAATGTCAATGTGCATACAAATTGTTTGTATCACAATTGTTTCGTAACTGGGAGTGTTTTTAAGGGAATGGGGCTCATATGCAGTGTTTTGTAAACGTTTCGACATCAGCTACAAGAATCTGTAACAAAAACTGACGAGTTCCATTTGAAATTTTTTACGTTATTTGTATGCAGCTCGTAAGGGTCATTTCAAGGTCATGCCGTCTATGCCACATAATACATCTTTTCATACCATAAAAATTATGTCTAAGACATTTTGTCGAAAAATGAATAGTTTCGGAAATAATTGTTTGCTTCCATACTTTTTCCCCACCCTGTATAATCATTTAAACCTAATATTGAGAATGGCCAGTTGAGATAGCGCTAAAGAAACTTTAAATAAACTTTTGAATTATGAGACTCGGAAGTATAAGAAATTCGAACCACCCGTATCTATGGCTATAACTTGCTTCATCTTAGAGATGTTAAACAAAGAGCCTGTGGTCTTCGAGAAATTGACCATAGGTAAACATAAAACAAATCCTCTGAAATTAATACTGCACGTGCGCTCGTTCGACAGGCCATCCTCAATCGTCAAAGCATTAAGCGATAAGATAATCAGTTCGCTCCCACTCTCAACTGGATGGAACTAAATCTCCAGCGAAAGGGCTTAAACAATAAAAATCTTAAGAAACGCCTCTCCTCCCAAAAATCAGCCTCCTTGTCCTTAAGAAGGGAGTATTGAAATTATTACAAAAAATTCCCACCATCCAGTAAGGAGGAGAAGGAACTACTTTAAAAAATGCAAGCGCAAGGCGCGAGAGCTCACTTGCTATCTAGTTCACTAAGCGTTCATTAGTTCGTTAGATCTTTAATTCACTTATTATCTAGTTCACTAAATGTTCACTAAGCATTCACTAATAAGCACTAACTAGCACTATAAGCAGCACAGTCGACAGTTCAGTTTACAGTTCCAGTCAAGTTTCAGTCATTCAATTTTAAAATTATATAGCCTCGGGAATCCCTTTTCTTGCATTATGCAGTTAAATTATTAATTTGTTTTATATACAGTGAAAATGATTTTGTTAACATTTAATTGTGTATTATGTGAAATTTCTGATGAACATCTCCATTACTCGGCTCTTCATGTTATAAACCTCCGACTTCAACCATTGCAATTTTATCAACGCATTTATTTTTGTGATCCTAACGAGTTGTGAATAAATTTAAGTAATTTTTATTTTCTCCCTTTCCCATATCTTACTATCTCATAATTTAAAATTTATGTCTGACAAATAATTTTAAACAGTTTAATAATCATTAAATCTTTACTAATTACTATCAATCAATCAATTAATCCTTGTCTCACTTCTCCTCCAGCTTCATTCCTTGTTCTTCCTAATTCGCCTAGAATCTCCGAAAGGCGATTCGCGAATAAATCTCCTAAGATCTTTATCCATTCGTTCAAGATTTCAGCATTGGAATTTACGAATACTTCCTCTATTTATTCGCTTTGGATTTCAGCATTGGAATTCGCGAACAAATCTCCTAAGATCTTTATCCATTCGTTCAGGATTTCAGCATTGGAATTCACGAATACTTCCTTTATTTATTCGCTCTGGATTTCAGCATTGGAATTCGCTAATAAATCTCCTAAGATCTTTATCCATTCGTTCAGAATTTCAGCATTGGAATTCACGAATATTTCCTTATTTATTTGTCCTGGATTTCAGCATTGGAATTCGCGAATACTCTTCTGCTCTCCGAAGATTCCGAAGAATAATCCATCCCTAGTTTCCTTTAATTTTTTCTCTTTTTCTTTTCTCTCTCTCTACTACTTTCTTTGTATTATCACTACTTTTGGGAGAAACCGTTAAAATAGATAAATAATATTTGAAATAACTAATAATTTTTGACTTAGACTTGGCAAATCTCTTATTTAAAATTTTATTATTGTATTTTAATTTGGACCTGTGTTTCAGCGAAATTTAGAAAATTTTAATTCTAACTATAACACATACGCGAGAATATAACACATACGCGAGAATATATAAATACACACACACACACACACACATACTCACTCATGCATAACTACAACTCCTAAGATGTATTTTTCTTTCCTTATATTTTCTTTATATAATATATTTTTTTTTATTTAATGTAGAATATAATTATTTAACCCGTTCTCTTCCCTAAATCCTGAGATAGCACTAGGTCCTATCCCGCGTAACAAGGATTAAATTCCTTTATTCAAAAGAGACCACCGAACGAATAGGCGTAAAACTCAGAGTTAAAGAGACCTTCGGTCGCTGACCTGTGTCAGACCCTTCACATTCGTTCGACCCGATCCACACACACGCCCGAATAAAGTGTGTCACGGTAAGTAAGTTACGTTCTTCCATACAACCTATACTTTCAGGGTCTGGACGTAACAATATATATATATATATATATATATATATATATATATATATATACAAAATTAATATAAATTATTTAAAAAATGTACCTTTTATATTAGACTTTTGTTTTATTTATCATTTTTTATCATAAAATTCATACATATATATTGTCTTAATACAAATAAATTTTATTGCTCATTTGAATGGGTTTACAAGGATCTAACTTATAAGAAATTCTGTGTGGATATTTTGACGATTAAATATAATGTCTATATATATATATACACACACACATATATATATATATATATATATATATATATAATATTTTAATCATAAAATACAGAACATATAATATCTTTAATTATTTTCTTCAATTTTTGTGATGCAATGCTGTATACTCAATTTATTACACTTACGTAGCATCCGCGTTAGTTTTAAACAATTTTTGTTTGCATGTGATTGGGATGAATTTCACATGAACTGGATGAGAAGGACGAATAACTAAATCCAATTTTAATTGAATATCTTTCAAATAATCAACGGGTTCCAAATAAAAATTATGCACCAAAGGAGCTATGATAGATTTCATCTCCAAGAGACCATATCGTTGACCTATTCAGTGTCAAACTTATTAAAAATGATCGACATAAGGAGAAACAAAAATTGCAGGCAATTTACCTATGCAATTCCTTGACCCTGCACTGAAAGGTAGATAAGAATAAGGATGACGATTCTTTATTTTCTCAGGCAAAAATCTATCCGGATCAAATACTTCTGGATTTGGCCAAAAATTGGGATCTCTGTGAACTGCGTTGATATTAAGCAATAAGATCGTTTCAGCGGGTACGACATATGATTCTGGAAAGCATGTTATAAAATTAAAAAATATTAAAATTTACAAAAAATGATATTTTGAAAAAAAACGAAATGTACATAATGTATTCTTAAAATATTAATACATTAATATTATTTTACATTCCGTAATATATTCTGTGCTATGTAACATATTCAAAGATATACTATATAGAAAAAAAGTGAATAATTACGTAATTTTACATCATCTCCAGTGCATCGTGATATTATACCCACGCTGGGATACAAACGTAACACTTCCTTTAAACATCTATCTAAATATGATAAATTTTGCAGTGATCTCATGTTGAGTTTCCCTCCATTCTCTAGCATCACATCATCGACTTCAAGCCTCACACGCTCCTATGTTATCCATAATAATTTAAATATATTTCTTAATATTCTACTTTTTATTTACATAGATGTAAATAAATTCTTAAAAATCAAAATAAAAAATAAAGTGATATACATATTTACTAATATTGAAAAAATATATTGTAACAAAAAAGAACTTGACATTTAAAAATTGTAATTTAAATAATATATTGCAATATATTTAGAAATAGATACCTGAATATCCTTATGTTCAGCTAATAGTAATAAAGTAAACATTATACCTATCGCTATGGAATCATGACCCTGTAATCATCATCATATCATCATATATTATAAGTGATTAGATAATGTGTACAAAAAAAGATTAATAAAAAAAGATTACAGATACGTACTGCCAACATAAAGGTATCAACTTCCTCTCTAATGTCCAAATCAGTTAAAGAATATTCTTGAGATGCCGCTAATAAAAGGTCCAACATAGCTAACCGCTTTTTTTTAACTAAAATAAAGCATATTAGAAACAAATTCATTTTTGCGTGTTGCGTTTTAATTTTTAAACGTTTTTTGATAAAAATTCAAATTCTGTTACAAATAATAATAATTTAATTTTACAGCAAATATGTTGTGATTATGTTTAGTATAAATACTATAAGTATAATTACTATACGTATAAGTATAATTTATAATATTAGATTGCGCAATCAAATTTAAATTAGAAACTTTAATCGTACGTACTTCCAAACACCTCAACATCATTTGTCGCCGCTTCTTTAAGACTTTCAAGGTTTTCTAAGTATTGATCATTGGTACGTTCGTGATAAAGTTTTCTTTCCGCAATAATCTATGTACATGAGTATAAACTTTTACAGTGATTTTTTTATATTAATAATGTATTAATAGAGTAATTTTAAATATAAATATTTGAAGAATTTAAATTAATGTTTTTTATATTACCTACTTTTTCCGTAAATCCATGCAATATTTTTAAAATTTTCTTTTGCTTTCTTCCTTGTGATGACAAAGAGAAGATCATATCGTTGCGAAACCAAGGCTTGAATGATCTTAACAGTAATTCAATAAAGCTATATAATTACAATAATAATGTAATTTTATAAAAGCTTTATTTTAAAAATGTTATTTAAACCTATCCTAACATGTCAAAATAATCTTTATATATTCATGTACAAGAGATTAAAAATTTTAAATTATATTTGTGACGAAAAAGATAGGAACTTTTTGAAACATTGTACTTTTGTTTCAGTTATAATTTTCAGATTAAAAATAATTTCTCTTTAGATTTTATTTTACATTTCATTCTTTTCTTAATTTTACAACATGTCTTAATATTTCTCATTTTTTTAACATTTCAAAATAATGTTTATTTTATAATGAAATATTTAGCAATGAACAATACATTTTCACACTGCAGTTTGCCCATTTAAACGAATTGATATCCTTATTAATTGTTTATCTTCTTATAATTAATATGTAACATATTTATGAGAGTTAAAATAATTATTACCATATGTTAATGTCCTACAACAATTATTACGAGTTATTGTAACTATTTTTTCATGTAATTTTTAATTAATTTGTATGTCATTTTTACATTACACTTAAAGTCACAATAACAAAAATAAATGAAAAGCATTGTGTCAATTATTTAACATTTTTAATTTGTCAATAAGTAACATATGACGAATGAGATATTTTAACCTAAAATTTAGAGTGGACATGTGAAAAATGTTATTATAATTAAAATTTTATTTTTTACTTTGTATATGTATCAAAATCATATCTTGAAAGATCATAAATATATTACATAATTATGTATATTTACTGCAGCCATATAAATTACCTATAAAATACCAATTCGATCATGTCGTGAATTGCATTTCGATATTGTTGCTGGAATTCGCCGAGAGTTCGTAAAGAGACACCCATGGCGGTTTCTACAAACACATTTATTTTATAAGATATAAATAAAGTCAGTCAAAGATTATTACAGCTGAATATTTAATAGATAGTTTTAAGTATAATAAAACAGATATTACTTATCTGCCCATCTATCGATACGATCGATGTATGTATAGGAAGAAGTTATCTTTTTTATTATCTTATAATCTTAAAAATCGATCTCGTGCAAAATGAAATTCTTGGTCATAACGTACAATGAGAATTTTACAATAGCCTTACCGCATATCGCGTTTAGCGTATGTTCACTAATAAATGGCAATAAATCCTTTACTACTGTCCCTCCAACATCCATCAAAAATTTAGTCATGCAATCTCCCTCTTTGATTAAGATATCAGCAAATTGGTTCAATATATTAAAATGAAATGTAGGTGTTAATATTTTTCGCCGCGTTTGCCATTTAAATCCTATAACAAAAACAAGATACTACATCAAAATACAAATAATATTATGTAATATTACTGTCAGAAAGACAGTAAATAATATTATTTCTCTACATTTATTTTTTTTATATCGCACGATATTATTTTGTAATCTTTTAACTGCTTACCTTTGCTGGTGAGAAGTCCTGTGCCGAGCCAAGGATGCAATGGGTCATAGAAAAAACCTTTTTCGATATGTTTTGTGCTACTTAATATCGTCTAAAGTAACGCAAAACATATTAAAAAAGAGAAACTGTTCCTTATATCTCATTGAATTAAATACATAAATAATGATTGTATCTTAAATTTATATCTAGTCTTATTGATTAAGAATATTTTTTCTTATTATCTTTTTAAGAAACATATTTTTCTGAATAAAAGTGTTCTTATGAATCGCATGTTTTCAAAAGCTTGTTAATTCGTAATGTCTATGGAAAATTGAATTTCTTTTATTACCTCTAAATCATCTGGATGACGAATAGACACCACAAAAGTGGAAAACAGCAAAAATTTATAGATAGGATAATATTCATTAGATAATGTACAGAGGAGCTTCCATTTTTCTTCTGAAAATTATATTATAAATATTAATGTACAAAAATTTCGATGGAATTAATTTTAATTTCAACATTAGTGCATTTTTACTCAAATTCGTTGGAAACATATTAATAAAAAAAATTGTATTTTTTAATTAAACAAGTAATTATTGTGAAAAAAAGTGCTCAGATAAGATCTGTATGTATTCTTGATAAGTATATGTTTCAAAGTACATGATTTATAAATCTAATTTGTATAAATAACGGATCATTTATTTAATTAATATAAATAGATAGATAAATAGATTAAAAATTTTGTATTTACTTTCTGAAGTAAGCCATTGAAACACGTTGCCAACAATTGGTAAACCCGGTGGTCCCGGTATGAGTTTAATGAGTTGCCAGTTTCTTTTATAATTTATGTAATACTTATTATACAAATAATATATCAATAAATAAACATACATAATATCGATATAGTATACATCGTTTCTTAATCTGATATTCTTGACCGTCTAAGTAATCTGAACCTTCGTCTATTTATTGTTTTTTTTTTATTCTTGGATCATATGTATTACATAAATATTTTTTGATACATATAAAAGTAGATATTTGATTTTCGACAAATTTGGCAACTATCTTGATATTCTAAAGAATATTAATGCTGAAAGTGAGAAAAGGAGAAAGTAAAAGATCGTTGTAATACATCGTTGTAATCGCATATTTTTTGTAGTTAGTTTTGTAATTTAATCAAGTATTTTTTGTAGATAGTTTTGTAATTTAATCAAGATATAAAAGATATGATAAATTTCTTTCCAGGAAAAAATTACATTAATTAATATTACATATGCACTAAATTTGTTAATCAAATAAAAAAATGTTTAATCTGCCAATTTCTTGCAATTGTTTTTCTATTGTATAATATAAAATTTCGCCATATTCTACTGCAACATCTTAACTGTATTTAATAGTATTATAATATTAAGGCGAGTGTTAACATCATAGATCTTGATTATGTGTCAAATCTTTAAATTGTTTCTGATATTTTTATAATTTTATTTATTCTATAACTGTAAAAAATGTTCTTAAGATCATATCATAATATCCGATTACAACTCATTTCTGTACTTATTTATAAATATCTTAAATCAATAAAAATACTTTTATTGGTATGCAGTGATACAAAGTTGTAATAAACCAAAGTTATAAAATATTTAAAGGATTTGCAACTCCTGTCATAAACAAATAAATATTTTGAAAACTTTTTTTTTTTTAATATTATTATATATTGATATTGTAATCTTATTATATAATAATAATTAATATGTAATATTAATTAATATAAAATATTAATTAATAAAATTTTATCAATATAAGACAAAACTAAGTACTTATGGTATTTGAAATAATTTCTGTTAAAACCACCATTTTTACGCTAATTAATCTGTATTAAACACTGAAGTTTTGCAAAAGTATGTTATAAAATTTTATTTTATACAAATATTATAAAGATTACCTGATAGATTACATGATGCGACGATAGAAACACAACTCAAATCATTAAAAGGAAATCACAAATTTCGTTATAGAAACATATAATTCAGTGCAATAAATGTGCGCGAACTAATAAGATAAATGTGAGGCTTATATTTATAACCGTTCTTCAGCTCAAAAACTATTAATAATCAGATACTATTCTTAATGGGTGGGGTTCCATTTGTCTACATTCCCGATTGCCAACTGCTTCAATTGCGCACAATATTTTGCTGACAGCTTTTTTTGCCTATATCCCGATTATCTACAAGTATTATTGCACACACGAAGAAAATGAAAATACGAAAGTACGATTGCACATAATACATTGTTGCTTGCATGCACGATTGCACACATGAAATTATTGCATACATGCAGATTGTACACATGATATTATTAAGCACATACACATTACACACATGATATTATACGCAAGCAGTTGGCAAACGTGAATGTAGGCGACTGAAGCCCTTCCTATTCTTAGAATCTTAGAAAGTACATGTATATACAGTACTCTTCTATCTGAGAAAGTACTTGCGTAGATACAGTATGTTCCGTCCCTGCAGAGCGCTCCACTTTCGAAAGATAAAACCCAACCTAATCCATGTCCGTGATATGGGTTATATCACGCTTTGCATAGAAAGTTATAAACCCATACTATATGTACATATAATAATATTTATACATAGTATAAAAAAATATGTTCTATTTATAAAATTTCTTTTGTTTATAACTTTTAAATAAACAATGTGCGCCGACTAAAACGTTTGGAAAATTACTCAAGGTCAGTACCTTGATAATATATATCAAGGTTAAAATTATCCGAGGTGGCTCTCCCAAGCTAAATAATTACCATAAGTTTTGCATTTACATGTATCATTAATAAGTCAATTACGTCAAGTCTAATAAGTCAATTACGTTGTGTAATAATGATTGATATTAAAAGCAATGAGATTAAGATATACTTTCATGAAAAAATTCGAAAAATAAGATATCTGTTTATGAAAAAAAATCTGTTTCAAAAAAATTGTTGTGCAATAGAAATGAATATTAAAATGAATATTGATGTATATCTTTATTTTTTTGTGTATAAAACTAATTATTTGAATTATTTGAATATATTAAAACTAAAAATGTCTTACAAATGAATAAAGTTATATAAATGTATTTAATTTCAATCGACATAATTTTCTTACATATATACGACGTATTGCCTACGATGAACAATTCCAGATAAGATTAGATCATCAGAATCCGTTTATGTCAAGAGACAAAGTTGCTCTCTGTAAGATTTTCATAATGTATATCAAAGTGTATATTTTCTATCAAGGCATATTGTTTTTATATTATTATAAATTTATATTATTATATTATTTTTTATATTATTATTATATTATTATATACTTTTATATTATTTTTATATTATTATATTATTATATTTGTTTTTATATTATTATTAAATAACCGCACAGGTAACAATACTATTTTCTTATAACGTTAAACTCTTGAAGGTCGCCAGTAAATAAAATATAAGAAGTAATTAAAAACGACCACACTGGCAAATTTTATTAAAGTGACTCACGACGTTTCGACCATGGTTTTGGTCCTTTTCGAGTGAACTACAACAAATTATTTCCAATATTACACAAAAAATAAATTACATTGATTTTGAAATAAAAAATGAGCGGCAAGTTAAATACATACAATAATTTAGTTAACTATTCTATTGTGAGAAATAAGGAAATCACTTCGTCAAGATTGTCATGTCAACCGTCTCTATCAACACACAGAGAAAGACTAGACAATCTTTATTAGTCTATCATAAATATTGTTTAAATTTTCAGTGTCCTTTTGTAAGTTGATCGTGTTGTCAAACTTTTTTATAAAAAACATTTCCGCGATTTCTCTCTTTCTCCCGTGTTCTCCTATGGGCTCCCCCCTATCACCTATTTTGGCAGATATCGTGATGGATGACTTGGAAACGTATTGCTTAAGTCAACTAAGTTTTAATATTCCGACATATTATAGGTATGTTGATGACATTTTTACCATTGTTCCACGCTCAAAAGTTGAAGATAAAATCGACCTTTAATAATTACCATCAACGCTTAGCATTTACGCATGAAACCGAGTCTGATTTTGGTATCAGTTTTCTTGACACGATTATTATCCGATCAGATGGTCGTCTTCTGACTGATTGGTACAGGAAACCCACCTGTTCCAATAGATACTAATTTTTATTCTAAACATCCGTTCCAATATAAAATGAACACTATTTACAATCTTGTTGATCACGCCATTTTATTGGCAGACACTCGATTTCATTCCAAAAATATTGACATCGTTAAGCAGATTCTTTCCAACAATTGCTTTCCAAATCATATTATTAACCGCTATGTACAAAAAAGATTATATTTTTTAAAACACCGTCATAACGCAAATATGGACAATGAATCCGACAATGCAGTTACATCTTCGTACATCTCCTTGCCGTTTGTGGATGGCTTGAGTAGTGAAATTGGTCGCGTTTTTAAAAATGTAGGTCTTAATGTCGTCTACAATGTGCCTAAAAAACTCAACGTATTAATTAAACGTGGTAAAGACAGGCTGCCTACTAATAACAGGACAGAAGTCGTTTACAAATTAGACTGCAAAAATTGTAACAAGTCATATATTGGCCAAACAAAAAGACATATAAGCACTCGTGTAAAAGAACATCGCAACAACACAAAAATGCACGAAAGTAATTTTTCTGTTATCAGTAAACATAAAGTTGAATTTAATCATGACTTCGATTGGTCATTACCAGTTATTTTACGTTATAATGAGAAACATGTGAGAAAGAGAGAAATCGCGGAAATGTTTTTTATAAAAAAGTTTGACAACACGATCAACTTACAAAAGGACACTAAAAATTTAAACAATATTTATGATAGACTAATAAAGGTTGTCTAGTCTTTCTCTGTGTGTTGATGGAGACGGTTGACATGACAATCTTGACGAAGTGATTTCCTTATTTCTCACGATAGAATAATTAATTAAATTATTGTATGTATTTAACTTGCCGCTCATTTTTTATTTCAAAATCAATGTAATTTATTTTTTGTGTAATATTGGAAATAATTTGTTGTAGTTCACTCGAAAAGGACCAAAACCATGGTCGAAACGTCGTGATTCACTTTAATAAAATTTGCCAGTGTGGTCGTTTTTAATTACTTCTTGTACTATTTTCTTATAATAGAAATTTTTAGAAAAATTTCTATTAAAGAACTAGAACTATTTCTACTAAAGAAGAATTTTTCTAAAAATTTCTATTAAAGAACAATATTTTAAAAATTTCGATAAAATATATTGTATACTTTGCTACAACCGTATAGTTACAGAAAATATAATTATAATAAAATTTTCACACATTAATTATTAATTTTATGGCATTATTTTTCTAAAATACATTACATTAATACTATTACATCAATTTCTCATAATATATCATTTTTATCGTGCGTTTTTTCTTTGGATACATAATTTGAGCATATTTGATTATAATTTTTTATTATTATCTATTTTATTATTATCTTTCATCACCTTAAATTTATGTGTATCGCTTGATAATTTAAGCATTATAAGCTGTAACTATTTATTTATTTTCTTTCTTATATGGTATCAGTGAAAGGATCCACAAAAAGATTGAAACATTTGATCAGGTTAATTACACGTAATTCGATAATAAATACAATTTACGCACCTTTTACTGCATTCAGGCTCAAATTGGTCCTTTTTTAATATTAGTTTTTCTATTATAAATTATTAATTTGGAGTCTCTACTTTTATATTTTAATTATTTATATTATATAAACATCAATACACAAATGTTCTGATTGGATTTTGTTTTTAATATTATCTTTATTCAAATATGTTATAGACAGATAAATAATAATAAAGAAAATGGATTATAATTTTAGCGCGATAGAAATAGCAAAATTTTAATTGTGTGTGTGTGTATGTGTAGAAGTGGAGGAGAAGAAGAAGGATTTCATTAAATGTTAATGCCTTTTAAAATTTTATTCGATTTACTTTTCTGTATCTTCTCCCTCCATTACGTTTTAGATTAACAAAATTTGTTCAGGTGCCTATTTGTCACCAGTTTCTTACTGTTTCGAATTTTTGTAAGATTTATCTGGCTATTGTTGGTTAGATTTGTCGGTTTGGATCGGTTAAATTCGCCATCAATTTCTTGTTTTCCTCTCTGATAAGTTTCAGAATGTTACTCTTTCTATTCAGAGGGAGATGTATATTGTTTTATTATGGATATATTTGTCTATTTCCCTCCCGGTATTTTTTTATCTTCAGATAATTATTTGTTGAATAGATCAATGTTGCTTCATTGTTAGTATTTTTTGCGTGTTTTTTTTTGTAATTACTCATAAATATTAGATGACAAATATAGATTATTATTTAAGCCCGTATTTATAATCATGATTCAGATGAGACACTCAGCTGAAACTAATTTTGAGATGTGATACGGTTTAATAAATAAATCTTAAGAATCAATATGGTATTCATTTATCTCGATTCAATAAAGATACTCAGAGGAAGTTTGTCTTGAGATGCAACTTGATCTGTGATTGATTGCATTTTAATAATTGCAGCTTAAGAAAAAATCACATATTAATAGTTTTTATATTTCGTATCAGCTAAAATTTGAGTGGGGAAAAATTGCGTATCACTCAAATGTAGTTCAAAGATGACTTGAGGAAAAGTTGGCAGGATTAATAGATTTAATAATTAGAGACTTTTCTCAAGTCTAATAAAAAAATCAAAATAAAATGGCATAAGAGCCAACGCGCGGTAGTTGGAACGCAGAGAAGCAACACTTTTCTTTTTTCAATATTATTTTATTAAAAAACACATTATAATAACAAAAAGCGAACGTTTCGGATCATCTTTTGATTCTTCTTCAGCGTGATTTTAACAATATATGTCACAGACAGTGACGCGTTACATTAAACGAATTTATTCTCGACGCGTAGGTGATGTTAAATTGCATCCCGCGAAAGTCTAGTAAGCACTCTGCTTCCAACAATCAATTAAATATACTATAGTTATGCTATGCGACATCATAGCAGATCTAGCATATCGAATAAAAATAAAAAAATTAATACCGAAAGATATTACATATGAATAAGTTTTTTTTGCTTAAATTAATAGTTAGAAGCATGACTTACCAGATTCCGCGCTTTTTTATAATTAATAATATAGTATGCCTCTGTGCGCCTCATGTTTATTCGAGATTTGATGACGAACTGTATAATTATGTCCTCGGTTGTGACGTAAACATGGACTCAATCAAAAACATGCTCATTGACTCAACGATAACAAACATACCGACGCGTGAACGAACGACTTATATTCTCGATAAATTATCGATTATCGTCACAAACGTA